AACATGGGCTTGTAAAACCATAGATACTGGAAGTTCTTCTTTCTCTTTCACTCTCACTCGCAGAAACCAGCACTGGTTAATCATTCACTGAGAACTCTCCACTGCAGACTTTGCCACTGAAACAGGACAGCAGCTGAATAGTTTTTTGATTTGATTTATTATTGTTGTATTTACCTAGGTATAGTGAAAAGTTTTGTTTTGCATGCAGTACAGGCAGATCATAACATACTAGGTACATAATCAAATCAATATCAAATCGAATAGTTGCACTCGAGTCTTTTCAATGTTACAATCCCAGAGAAAGCACAAGATCTGTAATTGCATTTGCCTTTATCATCCTGTCTGTACTAGACACCATTCTTCCTACTCAAACTTCCCTTTATAAGCTAATTACCTGCTTTTGTGTGTTTACCTTCCAAATCATATTTTCTTATTTTTTCAGGATAGTAGGTATTAAAACTGAACTCTCTTTCACTCGAGAAAGCCTTATAGTTGCCTCATCTTCATTTTTGATGATTAACTAAGTTTAATTGAAGTGTTGTGCCTGCATGCTTATAAAGAAAAAGAAAATACAACTTCATGACCACCAAAGTGACTGAAGTTGTGATCCCTCCTCACCAGTTGTAACACTGGACCTCTAATATAAATAGTTCAACCTTTGCATGTGTGCTTCAACAAGCCATTCAAGGATCATGTTTGCACCTAATGGAAGAGGTGAATGGTTGACAGACGAGAAATCTTCACAAAGAGTGGAAATATACACGGTGCCCTGTTTGAAGTTTTGTATGGTTTCATTATCAAATACTGGGATGTTATTAGTACATCAAGTTTCATTAACACGTTCAAAAAATGGAGAATATCCAATTCAATGGATGGAGAGAAAATAAACTCACCAAAAGTGATCCAAAAAGGGATCCTTATGATTATGCACAACCAAAGTGACTCGGAATGTTTCGATGAATTCTTTGGGTTGGATGCTGAAGACAATGAATTACCCAGTGTTAAAGTACTTTCATTAGGGTAAAATTTACTGTTTTGCAATTAATTTATTCAATAAACCATTTCATATTAATTTAATATATATTACTAATGTTATGTTTTTTTCACATCTCAAAATGGCGACCACCCAGACCAGTAGTTCATGTTTTACACTCCACAAATAAATTGACCCTTATTTTAAAAGTATTTTTGGAGGGGGCAAAGATCGACTTATAAGCTGTGATCTACGGTAACTTCAGAATGACATTTACAACTGCTTTCTCCAGTTACCTTTCTGGAACAGGAATAATTATAACACTTTTACATCTAGAAGTAAAAGGTTGTGGAAAGTAGCTTCTAAATATTAAAATGGAAAGAGAAATTCTAACATTTCAACAAAATTAGAACTTGATCCATAAAATGTGAACTGCCTGGTTTTGGAAATATCTGGTGAGACCTTGCCAATAATTCAGTTTTTAAGATTAGGGTCTGCGAATATTTTTCCTGATTGCTTATTTATCCTTCACATTGAATAAAAGTACATGCTTGTTGAGGCCAGGCAATGTATTTAGTTTCCTGACAATATATTCTACATAAGTACACGAAAGGAATTAGCTAAATTCAATATATAAGGAAAGGTTGGATAGGTTGGTATTTTTTCAACTGGAGCATAGGAGGTTGAGAGACCTGATAGATGTTTATAAAATAATGAGAGGTAGAGATACGGTTGATGGTAGTTGTCTTTTCCTTAAGATGGGGAATTTCAAGACTAGGGGGCACATTTTTAAGATGAGAGGAGAGCGTGTGGAATGAACTCCCTGATGAAGTAGTGGATGTAGGTACAATTACAACGTGTAAAAGATATTTGGATGGATATATGAATAAGAAAGATTTGGAGGGATATAGGCCAGGAGCAGGCAGGTGGGACTAGTTTGGGATTATGTTCGGCATGGACTGGTTGGACCGAAGGGTCTGTTTCCGTGCTATATGACTCTATGACATCTCCACCTTTTCTGATACCACCAATATTTAGTCATCTGCTACCTTTCACAAACTTTCCCAAAATTTTTTCAAAGTTCCCTGAAATAGGCAAAAATAATTAAATTGTGACCACATTGTAATCCTCTGGAATTTCACTTGAACAGCTTGGTTTTCGATTGCCTTCATTGACTATTGCTTCCTAGTGCCAAGCTGTTTCTAAGGAGGCAGTGGCCGAGTGGCATTATTGCTGGACTGTTAATCCAGAGACCCAGATAACGTTCTGGGGACCCGGGTTCAAATCCTGCCACGGCAGATGGTGGAATTTGAATTCAATAAAAAAAAATCTGGAATTAAGCATCTAATGATGACCATGAACCCTGTGTTGATTGTCAGGAAAAACCCATCTGGATCACTAATGTCCGTTAGGGAAGGAAACTGCCATCCTTACCTGATCTGGCCTACATGTGACTCCAGACCCACAGCAATGTGGTTGACTCTGAACTGCCCTCTGGGCAATTAGGGATGGGTAATAAATGCTGCCTAGCCAATGACGCTCTCATCCAGTGAATAACTTTAAAAGAAATCCACTTCTCTGAATTGTTAATTTTTAAAATCTTTGACTTCTGTCAAAAGTACTGCGTATGTAACTTGATCAAGTACCTTCTGAAAATACAAGTGGATGATCTTATTATTTTGTGTTTTACTGCTGCGTATTTATGTGATAGTCATTTGTCATCGTGTCCTTTTCTTTGGTTCATGTCAACTTTTATCTGCTTGTGTTACTGTCAGCCGCCTTGAGACATTTTACTGCATTGCTGGTGCTGCTGTTTTTTTTATGAATTGAGGTTATTAATAGAAGTTTAGCTTCTTTCATCATACAATTTGCTATACTAAGCCTTAGTACCGTGGCAATTTTGATACCATGTGTTGCCAAAATACTTAGAAACATAGGAACCTGGAATAGACCATTCAGCCCATTGAACGTGCTCCATCAATAGATTAGACCGTGCCTGATCATCGACATCAATGCCATCATTGTATCACATGATGTCTATCGATTTCTGTCTTGAACATGCTCAAATGTTGAGCTTCCACAGCCCCCTCGGTTAGAGAATTGCAAAAGTTTAAACCCTTTGGGTGAAAGACCTCGTTATTATATCCCCTAGTTCCAGAATTACCAGCCAAGGGAAACATCTTATTTACATCCTCCTCCAGTTGCCAGATGTGGATACAGATTATTTCTTGGGTATCTTATTAACCTATTTCTGACTGGAATTTTTTTGCGCAGAATGCAATTTTAGGCATAGCCTGTTAATCTTGGAGCTTCACTTGCTTTGCTCCACATTCTACTCCAAACAAGTTTTTAGTGGTGTTGCTAGATTTCTTTTGTACTGAGAATTGTTTTATTAGGATGTGCCAATTTAAAAGGATTATGAGGAAATTAAAATAGTTAGATTTAAATGGTTTTTAAAAAGGAAAATATGATGTTATAAAGCGGATGTTGACACCCTCCCCGCCTGATAACTAAAACCGAAACACCCAAAGAGGTGAACTTCACCCTATAATCTGTCAAAAGAGCCCCCAATCTGTTATAAAGGGGTGGTTAAATAAAAAAAACCTCTGACACACTCTTTATAATCAACAAATAATTTATTTATCTAACTCTAACAGTGAACACACTAAATAAACTATTAACAAACCAAATAAATCCCTTCTAACTATTACCTATTCCCGAATAAAACAAAATTATAATGGTATGCTGTTCCAATAAATACCAGTCACACTTATATAAAATAAAACTTTTAAAAATTAGAATTTAGTCTCTCAAAATTACAGCCAGGTTATGTATTCTGGAATGTGCTGTGTCTTCTCTGATGAATTATTTTGTCAGGAACATTAACTATTTGTGCCATAGGTACCTTTAATTTAGATGGAGCTTGCTCTTAGGCTTAGAGAATTCTGTGAGAGCCAGTGATTCTTTCTTTTAGAACTGAAAGCTGTTCTCTTGGCAGATGGCAGTTGGCTCTTCCCCAATTTTCCAAAAGCCCTCGTCTTTTATACCCTTGATGACATATCACTTTCTTACAATAAGATTGGTCCTATTGTATGTTGTCAAAACTATCAGATTTAAATTTAAATGGTTTCTGGTATCTAAGGGTCTGGTTTAAATTAATTGGCTAAATTCAAAAACCTGTTGTCTTGGTAAAAATGCTGCTTTGCCTGCTGTCAGTACAGCCTTTTGATACCAATGTTTCAGTTCAGGTACTCTGTGCACCTGCAAACTCACAGACATCCTTTTTGAATCTCTAAGCATAGATAAAGCACATCATCTTAAAGGGACCACAGACTTCTTTCCCCATAGTATTTTACACACACCAACAGTTTACAAACACCAGATTCTGATGTCTTGCCTTCCAATCCACAAGTACTCTACCCAACTTCGCAACAGTAAAAACTCTCATTGACTCCTCTGTTACTCCTAACAAATAAAAGCTGCACAGAATCGTGGAATCGCAGGAGTGTTACAGGCAGAAGGAGGCCATTCAGCCCATCATGCCTGCATGGCTCTCCAAATTAGTGTCATGAATTAGTGCCATTCTCCTGCCTTTTCCACATACCTTTGCAGATTATGCGAAAAGAAACGATCATTTAATACTCTCTTGACTGCCTGAATTGAAGCTGCCTCCAACACACTTCCAATCAGTGCAATCCAGACCCAAGCCACTCATTGTGTGAAAAAGATTTTTTTTATTCATATACAGCATCAGAATGCTAACATGCTGTAGTTCAAGGTCTGGAAGGAAATGCACCATTGTCCCTAGTTTTCACCTATGTTTTGATATAGAAATTTTCCAATTTGTAATATGGTAAACTCAAAACCTGGGGAGGTAGATTTACAACACATTTTAAAAGCAATGTATGAGTTTGATAGTATTCAGCATTGTTGATCCTACTTATTTCCACTTCATTTTTTTTCCTGAATGAAACAGCAGTGTCTGATTTTTTTTCTGTCATTATAATTTTTAACTTTCATATTTCAGGGGATCAGTGATTTCTGCGTGGCTCCAGACAAGTTCATCATGAATATGACCCAGAATAAAATTAATTCAGGTAAACTTCCACACTCTTCAAAAACAAAATGCATCTTTTCTCTTCCCCTTCCTTCCTTCAAAGTTGGCAACTGATATGGGAAAACAGTTCTGCAGATCAGTCACTTTCTAATCCTGTTGCTTAAGTCATTCTACATGACCTGAGACAGTAAATGATAACTTTTCATCTGTGGGAACCAGGATGACGACCCATTCAAAGTTTCCTGGGTTTGTCCTGAAGGGTGGCTCTCCCAGGTGTGGTCTTCCCTGGTTGCCATTAGACCTCAATTTCTCCAGGGAGCAACAGAGATTCTGTGCATTCACAGTCCCAAGCCAGTGCAACATGTAAACAATCAGCCACAAGGGAGAACTGGCTGTCACTGTGCTCCAAGAATTGCCTAACTTAAGCAGGTGGCTGGTTGGGCTTGTGAGGATGCGTCACGTCTGACAATAGCACCCACAGGCGCAAGTCTGGGCTTCAGTCTGCCATGTTCCTGAGGAAACAAGGTGCTCCAGGCAGACCAAGTAGTCAGGAGAGATCCAGCTTCTGGCGGGGGGGGGAGCAGGACAAGTAGTTTCGTCACAGGCCCAAGAGAGATGGGGAGAGTCCAGAAAGTCCCAGGAGTGTGTCCAAGCAAGCCTGAAGAGGTGTGGGTGCTTCCAAGCAGGTTTGAGAGTTCTGGAGAGGGGATTCTGACCGTTCTGTGTGGGGAGGGAAATTGGACACTGCCACATTCTGTGTTGGGGGGCAGCAAAGAATGTCTGAAAGCAGCACGACCTTCAAGGTAGCAGTGGAGAGCTTTGACAGAGCAGAACTTGCAGTCTCAATAGGTCAGAGGAGGCAATATGTAAGTAAGGAGCTTTACATGGAAAACGTTCTTAAAATTTGCAACCTTTAACCTGAGCAGCTTATTTTGGGCTCTTTGACCTTTTAAATATGATCTGCATTGTTGTCTGGAAGCTCCAGATCAAGGTTCCCCACATTCCTTTGACCTTGCCAGACCTACCTTTGCCCCACTTCACTTCACTTCACTTCCCGTCCAGCCAGACTCACATTTGTCGAAGTTCTTCATCACTTTGATAATAGTGATTACAGGTTCATTGTTTTTGTCAGTAAAACGAGTAGCAGTTTCCTGTCCAAACTAAAATTTCTCACCCCTCAGTATGATTTCAGTGAATCTTTCCATATGCTCTTCATGGCCTCACTGTCTTTCCCAAAGCAAGATTGCCAGAATGGACACAATATTACAACTGAAGCCAATCCAATAATTTGTGAACATGTAATCCCTGTTTGCTTTTATCCTCTCCACCATTATGTGTAAAACATAGGAGTTTGTATCTTTTATCAATAGATTTGACAAATTGTCTTCCCAATTGTTTCAAATTTCATAGATTCGTGCACAGACAGATAAATATGTCTGTTTGTCCTCTTTGTAATTTTGACAGTTCACCTGATTGTCTCAAATGTTATTCATATATGAGAAGGAAATCAAGCTAGAACTGTATAGCATGGTGGTTCGGTGGTTCAGTGGCTAGCACTGCTGCCTCACAGTGCCAGGGACCCAGGTTCGGTTTTAGCTTCAGGTGACTCTCTGTGTGGAGTTTGCACATTCTCCCCATTTCTGCGTGGGTTTTCTCTAGGTGCTCCCATTTCCTCCCACGGTCAAAAAATGTGCAGGTTAGATGGATTGGCCATGCCAAGTTGCTCCACAGTGTCGAGTGATGTGCAGACTAGGTGGATTGGCTGTGGGAAATGCAGGGTCACAATGACAGAGTAGGGAGTGGGTCTGGGTGGGACACTCTTCGGAGGGTTGGTGTGGACTTGGTGGGCCGAATGGCCTGCTTTCATACTGAAGGGGTTCTGTGAATAATAATGATATGAACACAGGTTGTTGAGCACATCGTCCTGTGTCTTTTTGGCAAATAAAATGAAACCCAAACAATTCATCCATCAGCTGAAACTATAATTTTTAGATTTAGTTGTACATATGTCAAGAATCTGACTTCAAAGCAGTTGAACGTCCTAAAAAATGTACATACTCAAGCACAGTTTCATCACATAATAGATGTTTTATAGTTGGGCTATGGGAGTTCTTCTAACTGATGTTTATTTGTTTTGATTACAGATGTAGTACATTACTACCTGTATTGCAGCCACAGCATAAGTAACCCATTTCAAAAGGTTTGCAATATTTTATATTGACTCAATTTTTACGAAATTAGATAAAATTAAGCAGTTATCTGTTCCAATCACACAAGTGAAGACTGAATTCAATATTTTATATGTCAATACATTTGAAAAGTAAAAGAGGTGGGATAATGAGATGGTACCTTCAAGAAAGCTGGCATTGGTGTGATGGGCTGAACAGCGCGCTTTCCATATTGTAAGTTTCTGTTGTGCCAATTTCATTGGCAGTAGATTTGAAATGGTGAGGGATAAAGTGTGTATACTTTGATACACAAGATATCACAATTATATGAGCTAAAAAGAAGCTTTATGAGCTAAAAGAATTTTTTCTGTCAATTCATGTTTATATCTGTTCAATTTGAAGCTTGATTTATTTTGGGAAGAGGTTTAGTTTTCAGTCATTACCTAAGTTGTTCACATTGAAACATGAAATAAAACATGTAAAACTAAAAACTGAACATGGACTTGGAAATTAAAAGCAGAAAGTGATTTTTTTTAAAAATTCTGTTCAACTCAATCTTTTCCCTTGTATAGATTCTTTCAAGTTTCCAACGATCTTTGACTGCCATGGATCGACAAATCCAGGGAATGATGTACATTGCTGTGCCAGTTTTCCCAATGGCAAAGGTAGGAGATAAAATTGCTTTTTGTAAAGCCTTGATTGTGTTTCTTAGTCTTACTATGACTGAATCCTTGAACATGTTGTCACCCTGTTCTACTCTCACTGTCCAATCATAGCCAAAGCATCACCTACAATGGCTTCTCTTGCTATATGTATATGATTGCTTATGCTGTGTTGCTATGTCCACCTCTATACTATATCAGTGTTATGATTCTTGGGGTTCCTTAGCTGAAATAGGCTAATTGCATTGATTGCTATATGAACCAAGGGCTTTTTCAATTTGCAGCATAGATTTGCTTTTTTTTCTTAATGAACTAACTGAGCTATTGAGTAACTCTACATTTTATTTCTGATACTGAGAGATTGGAACTCTTCTATATTTCTCTCCAAACTAAACCCTGTCATCCCTCCAAATGATTTCAGTAAATCTTGAGTAAAGCTAATTACAAAGACATAATGTAGGAGCTTACCAGAGTTGATTGGAAGGGGAGCCTAGCAGAGAAGACAGTGGAGAAGCAATAGCAAGAGTGGATTCATACCAGAACTTCAAGTCAGGGGGCAGATGTGAGCGTAGTGGCCATTACCAAGGAGAAAGTGCTGGGGAAGCTGAAAGGTCTGAAGGTGGATATAATGTAAATTGGTACATGAATAGGAAGGGTTTAGAGGGATATGAGCCAAATGCTGGCAAATGGGACTAGATTAATTTAGGATATCCATTGGCATGGTCGAGTTGGACCGAAGGATCTGTTTCTGTGCTGTACAGCTCTATAATTCTATATACTGCTGAGGCCCTATAAGGCTCTAATGAGACGGTTTTGGGCCCTGTATCTAAGGAAGGATGTGCTAACATTGGAGGGGGTCCAGAGGAGATTCACAAGAATGATCTTGAGACTGAAGGGCTTGTCATATAAGGAGTGTTTGAGGACTCTGGGTCTTTACTCAATGGTGTTTCAATTGATGAGGTGAGGATCTCATTGAAACTTGCAGAATACTGAGAGGCCTGTATATAATGGACATGGGGAAGATATTTTAACTAGTAGGAGAGACTCAGCCCTGAGTGCTCAATCTCGGAGTTAAGGGATGACGCTTTCGAACTGAGATAGAAGAATTTCTTGAGTCATTGGGTGGTGAATCTATAGGACTCATTGCTGCGGAAGGCTATGAAGGTCAAGTTATTAGAAGACTTTAAGAGTGAGATAGATGGGTTCTTGATTGGTAAGGGTATCAAGGGTTATGTGGAAAAGACAGGAGAACAAAGTTGAGAAACATATCAGCCATAATCAAATGATGGAGCAGACTGGATGGGCTGAATGGCCTAATTCCACCCCTTTATTTAATGGTCTTTTGGTTTAATCTTTCATGCTGTTTCATGGCCTTGTTGTCTTTCCCAAAGCATGATTGTAAAATTGGACACCATTATAAACATCACCAATCCAATAATTTGTAATAATGTAATACCTGTTTGCTTTTGTCCTCTCCACTATTACATGTAAAACATAGGAATCTGTATCTTTTACCAATAGATTTATCAATTATACCTCCCAATTGTCTTGAATTTCATGTATTTATTGGCCTGTACACTAATCTATACCTGTTTGTCTTTGAAATTCTTCATAATTTTGATAATTCATCTGAATGTCTCAGATGTTATTCACATATAAAAAAGAAACAAAGTTACAACTGAATAACAATGACATGGACACAGGTCATTGAGCACATCCTCCTGTCACTCTTTTGCCAAAAAAACATAAACCCGAATAATTCATTCGTCAGCTCAAACTACAATTGTTAGATTTAGTCAAATTGTCTGACTAAAAATTCTGCCTTCTCAGAAGGACCTTCTTGGGATACAGCTGCTTCTGAATAAATCTGAATCCAATTTGCATCAGCTCACAGCAATGCTTGACTGCCGAGGACTCCACAAGGTGAATTAACAATGAAGCAAAGTAATACCTTTGCCTGTTTTAAACTGTTTTTGTTTTTTTTTAAACTCTATTTTCTATCTTTTACCTATGGCTGCAATGTTGTGTTTTAATAAAAACCAAAAGAAATGCGGATGCTGGAAATCAGAAACAAAAACAGAAATTACTCAAAGTTCAGCAGGTCTGGCAGCATCTGTGGAAAGTTATTGCTAAACCTGCATTAAAAAACTGGTTTGGCCTCAGCTAGAGTATTGTGTCCAGTTCTTTAGAAAAAATATGAAGGAGTCAGACAGGGAGTAGAAAACGTTCACAAGATTGTTTCCAGGAATGAAAATCTTAAATTATACAGCTAGATTGGAGAAGGTGGGATATTTAGCAGGGAGAAGAAAAGATTGACAGGAACTGTTATGGAAGTTTTCAAAATCATGAGGAGTCTGATAAGAGTAGACAGAGAGAAATTGTTCCCAACAGTGGAAGGATCAAGAACCAGAAGGCATGAATTTATGGTAATTGGCAAAAGAAGCAATGGCGAAACATGAGAAAATATATTTTACACATTGAATGTTTAACTTTTTGATTGCGGTGCCTGAGAATGCAGTGGAAGTTCAGTCAATTGGAGCTTTCAAAAGATAATTGGATCATTATCGCAAAGGTCATATTTATAGGGCTTCTGAGAAAAGGCAGAGGAGTGGCACCAGGTGAAAAATACATTTACAAAAGTTGTTGCAGCTTGCAGCAATCATTTAGAAAGAGTTTCTGTAAAAGTTTTCCTAGTCTCTTCCCAGTAATTAACTCTTGGAGAGGTTGGATAAATGTATACGAGTTTAAGTAGTAAATGGCTTGGAGTAGGGTCAGAGGTGAGTAATCTTTCTCAGATGAACCGTGTAAAAGGCAGAAATAAAGGTTCACTACAGAAGAATGGATATTAAATCTGTGAATAAGCTCAACCCACCATTGACTTGGAAATATATCACCATTCCTTCAGCATTGCTTGGTCAAAATTATGGAATTCTCTTCCTAATAGCATTGTGGGCCTATCCACAGTGCATGGACTGCAGTGTTTCAAGAAGTCAGCTCAGCACCACCTTCCCGAAGGCACAGGGATGGGCAATGAGTCCTGGCCCATCCAGTGAACCATATCCCATGAATGAATAAAAATGATGAAACTCTTAGCCTGAAACTGGGACCAGGAAGAGCTGATAGCAAGAGATCTGATATACTAGTTGTTCCCAGGCAGTAGGAATTGGGCAGCAGTGAGTTGACTGCCTGTTTTCCTTTCCTTTGACCAGTTACAATAGGCCTTCGTCTGTTTGTTTTGATATGGATAACACCATAACTAGGGCTAGGAACGTCTATATCTTTGATCCAGTAACATTGTACCACAAAGTTCTTGCAGGTTGATTAATCAAATGTCTGTACAGGGTTACATTTCCTAACTTGGTTTTCTGTTTGTTTTTCTAAAGGACTATCTGGATGCCCTGATCGGTGTGTGTTATGACGGTGTTGAGGGATTACTGTACCTTTCACTGTTTTCTATCCTGGCTGCAGTTGCGTTTTGTGCCATGATCTGTGCAATATCTTGTGCTTGTAACCACTTAGTAATCAGGTAAATGTCACGGCATCTTGTCATGTACTGATTTTGAAGAGTGACACATACAAAGAAAATTAAACGTTATATCTCTTCTTCTTAATAGTGAGTTGATAGAAATATTTGACATCATGAGGAATGGGACAGAACCAGTGGAAATATATTGTTGCAAATGACTGAGGGACCTAGAACAAGGGAAAAAGAACATAGATTGAAAGCAAAAGATATAGGACAGAGAGCAGGAGAAAACCTTTACACATAGCAGGTTGAGGTGGAATGGACTAGCTCACTGAATTGATGATTAAACCAGAAATTATGTCAACATTTAAGAATGCTTAAAGAAAAACAGAAATTGCTGGAGAAACTTAGCAGGTCTGGCAGCATCTGTGGCAAGAAAACGGAGTTAACCTTTCGAGTCCGATGACTCCATCAAAGTTAGGTGGGGTGGGGTGGGAAGGGTCACCATGCCTCAGGCGAGGGGTTAGTTTGAGAAGCAGAGCGCTACAGAGTTACCTTGATCGGTGCAGGAATTGGACCCGCATTGGCATCACTCTGCATTGCAAATCATCTGTCCAGCAAACCTACTGGTAGTTGAAGAAGAGAATGTGGGATATGCAAATAGAATAGGCACATGGAAAAATAGAAACTAGGATCAGGAAAAGGCCATTCAGCACTTTGAGCCTGCTGTACCATTCAATATGATCATGGCTGACATTCAACTAAGTAACCTATTCCTGCTGTTGCCCCATACCGTTTGATCCCATTAGCCCTAAGAACTATAACTCCTTATTTCATCTCAGTCTAAAATGGCCTAACCTGTATCCTTTTCTGTGACCCCTAGTTCTGGACTCCCCAGTCATCGGGAACATCCTTCCTCCATTTACCCTGTCAGGTCCTGTTAGAATTTGATAGGTTTCTATGAGATTTTCCCCAGTCCAGTCTCTCTGTATATTCCAGTCCTGACATCCCAGGAATCAGTATGGTAAGCCTTTGTTGCACTCCCTTCACAGCCAGAACATCCTTCCTCAGATAAGGAGACCAGAACTGCATACAGTACTCCAAATGGGTTACGGGATTATGATTACTACTCCTTGTAGGGGATAATCATTAATGTGAACTGGTTGGGCCACTCAATTTTCATGCTGTAGTTTCTAATCAATTCTGTACAAAAGGAATTGTTTGCATGCCTTTCCAATAATGAGGTAGCCATGACTGCATATGTTCAGGGACTTTATATGTTAAAAGGTAATAGAAGATTCTGCTGATTGAGATATTGCAATATCTCAGCAATTTGCTTAAAGAAATTGTTTTATCCTTAATTGCAGTACATTCTGCACTGTTCACAGTATGATTGGATAAAGTATCTTGTTGCGAATGTTGCACCTATTAAAAACCTCCACCTGAATGATCAAGTCTAATTTATGTATAGTTTAGGATATTCTTAAACACTCTGGACACCACCTGTGACTGTCTGATTCCCAAGTAATATATTTGGTTAATATTACTATAACTGTTTGCTGAACAAATGTGGTTTCAGGTGATGTGATATTACAGCATTTTACAGCTAGTGAATAATAACCTACTGAGTGAGTGATGAAAGACGGTTATAAATCTCAATTGATGTTCTTTGACATGATGTGTGCATCACTGGCAAGGCCACCATTTATTCCCAATCCTTAATTGCCCTTGAACTGAGTGGCTAGCTCAAGCCATTTCATAGAGCTGTTGAGAGTCAAAGACACTCCTGTGGAGTTGGAGTTGCATGTAGGTCAGACTATGTAAGGATGGCAGATTTCCTTCCCTAAAAGACCAAGTGACCCAGATGGGTTTTTACAAGAACCAATGATAATGTCATGGTCACTATTACTACACTGGCATTCAATCAGGTTTAATCCTTGGATTTTTAGTTCTGACAGCTGCCATGGTATTTGAACACTTGCCCCCCCCACCCCCAAGCATTAGCCGGCACCTCTGGATCATCAATCTGTCATCAATTATCACTGTCAATGCCTCCCCTCTAATAATTATTCTAATTAATTAAACAATAGAATTATAAGGTGTATAATCTGATTTATAAAGGGCAGCTTGATACCTCTCCATACAAAATATTGTGGTAGCAGTCTTTAACTTGCACAATGTAACATTAAAACACATGATTCACTACTCAAGAGAAGAAAGTGTAGTTGCAGTGTAAAAATGATTTTTAACCAGCATGTTATGACACAACTCCTGCACAGGTGGTACTTGAACCCAGAGCTTCTGGCCCAGAGGAAGGGACACTGCCATAAAAGCTCTGTGGGTGGAATGTACAATGTAATTTAATACCAGATAGACCCAACTAGCTGGGACCGTTACAGTGTAAGATTATGCATTGAAATTGCAACTACAATAACCAGCTGACCTTCACTATGCTCAATCACTTCGTCTAAGATGTTTGGTCATTCAGCTATCTTTAATTTGCAACTAGACTGGAAGCCATTTCAGAAAATAAAATCTAATGTGACGAATTTAAGTAGTGTGTTGAGCTAGAAGAGAGAAATGCAGTTTATATCGAATTGCTTTTACTGGCACAAGTTCTCTTAGATTTTATAAAATGAGCAAAGTTATCACCAAGTATTGGAATAGATGTAGAAATTCAGAATCACATCATGAAAATGGATCATCTGTCCCAAAGTCTATTCTGCCATTTAATTTTTAAATTTTATTTAACCTATTTTTCTAATCAAACCATTCAAAGATGTTGATCAGGTGGGAATTGAACCTCTGTTTTGCCATTTATCCTAACACGAGCATATAGTTCTAGTCAAGGTTGCAAAGAACAGAACAGTTGGCCCAACAAGGCTGCGTCAACAAATAATGCCTGTCTTAACTAAAAACCTTCTGCCTCTTCACAGTCCATATCCTCTATTCCCTGCCTATTCATATATCTGTCAAGATACCACTTAAACATTGCAATTGCAGCTGGCTCCACCTCCTCTGGCAGGATATTACAGGCACTTACTGCCCACTGTTTAAATAAAAACTTGTCTCTCACATGGCCTTAACCCCTCCAAACCTTTGTCCCCTATTAATTGACATTTCTGCCCAGGGAAAAAGATTCCGACTATCCATTTTAACGATTCCTCATGATTTTGTAAATTCATATCAGTTGCCCCTCATTCTTTAATGCTTGAGTGAAAACAAACCAAGTTGGTCCAATCTCTCCTCAGCTAATACCCTTCAAACCAGGCAAAATGATGGTAAACTGTTTTTGTACCCTCTTCAAAGCCTCCACATTCTCCTTGTAGTGCCGTGACCAGAACCATACACAATGTTCCAAATATGGCCTAGCTAAAGTTCTATACAGCTGCAACATGACTTGCCAATTTTCATACTTCTGTGCCCTGACTGATGAAGACAAGCATGCTGTATGCCTTCTTGACCACCTTATCCACTTGTTTTGCTAGTTTCAGGGAGCTGTGGACCTGTATGCCTAGACCCCTCTGTATGTGAATGCTTATAAGGGTTCTGCCATTTATGGTATAGTTCCTTCCTGCATTAGACCTTCCAAAATGCATCACCTCGTATTTGTCCGAATTAAACTCCATCTGCCATTTCTCCGCCCAAGCTTCTATATCCTCTGGCAATCCTCCCCACTATCTGCAGCTCCCCTACTCTTTGGGTTGTCTACAAACTTGCTAAGCAGGTTACCTGTTACCTATTCTTGATCCATCTCACATCAACATTTCTTCCTTCATCTATTTATCCAATCTAACCCTCAAGAATGATATTTTGTGTTTCAACAGCTTTTTTTAAAGTGATTTCCACAGTATCAAGGCTCTTCATAAGGAAAGTTTCCTTGCTTTCTGTCTTACATCTGTTATATATCAGCTTACGGTTATCGTTCTTGCCCTGAGCCCCCTAAAACTAGAAACAGTTTGCTTCTTCTGTGTACCCTATCTATTGTAAACATTTGTGTCATACCACAGCCCAATTTGCAGTGCTTGGTAGAAAAGAAAACCTGTTGTTTTCACGTCACTCTTCAGATTTCTAGTGAAATCGCAGTGAACCTACATTACACCTTCTCAAAAACCTCAATGTCCGTTCTGATAATTCAGCACTCCGCGCTCGAGCAGACAAAGCAAGGTGGAGCAGGTTATAGTCAACCTTGCAGAGTATATAACTCCACCCATCCTCTGAACCAAATACTATTGTGGCTAGCCCTGTTTTCTAAGTATCTCCAGTCATTATGTTGCAAATTATTTAGAATATCTGCAACATCTAGTTTTGTAAGTTCAGAAAATCTTTTAAACTTTTTGCAGTTATGATATTGCTGTATGACAAGTAGAAGACAATAGCACCTGAATTTTAATTTACTTCATGGACAGTAGATATATTTGATAGTGCGGTACTTGTGTATTGCTATAAAACAAATCACATTTTGTTGAAGGTTTTCACTTCCACTCAGCAGGACAATTTAAAAGAAACACCAAAGTAAAGTGAAACATTGTTTTTAATACTTTTTAAGTAGAGTGCACAGTTTGATTGGTAAGTGGACTTGATCAGTGCAAGTTAAAAAGCTTCAACAAAATATCTTCTTATATTTGTTTCATAAGAAGTAAAATGAGCCATTGTGGCAGTTAGAAAAATATGTGCCTGTTCATCAATCCAAATATAATTTATTAGAGCCATATAAATAAAAAGAACAATTATAGAAATCAGTGCTTAGTGATGAGCTAAGATGGCACAGGTTTGGTATTTGGCTGTGCAACAGCTGATGGCTTAAATGAGCTCCTTTTCTGTTTCAGAGATCGAGATTATGATGACATTGATGAGCAAGATCCTTTTAACCCTCAGGCTCGTCGCATTGCAGCCCATAACCCAACTCGAAGCCAGGTCCACAGTTTTTATAGTTTCAACAGTAGTTTGGGCAGTCAGACCAGTCTCCATCCATCTGCAAACACAAACCCCAGTCAAACAGCTACCACTGCGCCTGCACCGGAATACATGTGAGTGCACATTCCGAAAAAAAATCTGGCTGCAACTCTTATCCTCAATTCCGATACTTCCACCTGGTTTAAATACACATTTAGCCTTTGTGTTAGTGCTGTAATATGCTGTGATTTGTCATAAATGAGCAAACAATCTGACCATTTTAAAATATGTTACAAGTTGCAATTTTAGTTTCAAGTTTATATCTGTGCTCATGCATACCACAATATACACAAAGACTTACGTGGAAGGAAATTGTGGTAAAATGACTATAAATTCAATTTAAAACTACCATTGACTGGAGCAGAAATTGACTTCTGATGTTTCTCAGTCGGAATGTATTATTCAATTAAAAAGATTTTGTCCGACAAAATGAGATCTAATACATCTGATCATTATAAACATTGCAGTGTACTTTGTCTGGCATTGTTACTGGTCTCATTACTGGAAATTAAATATATAACAAGAATTAAGTGGTGCCATGTAAACTGCAAAGACTAAAGGTTGTCCTATTAAATTTTCTACCTATCTACTGTGTATTGCAGCAGATTGTGTATACATGAAACTATTTTGTACACAGTTCAATGAAGGAGGTTTATTTCAGAAACCATATGTGATAATGTGACTCTGAAAATGTTTATATTTACCATAAAAATTGTCAGATAACTTCTATTCTCCCGCACAGGAACAATACTGTACTTTTCGGTGGAAACCCTCGCTATGAAAATGTTCCGCTGATCGGAAGGAATTCACCTCCACCTTCGGTACGTTGGGCACATGGGACTGAAACATTTTTATGACCAACTTCATAATTTCCTTTTCCTCCTTGGTCCAGATAACAGGCTCCTTTGGGCTGATGGTATTGTTTAAGATAATATCTAACAAACTGGTACCTCCACAACAATATATTATTTTTATACAGTATACCACTTAAAGTACCAAACTGGACCGTGAGGGTATGATTTGTCAACTTTTGATCACAAGAATACAAACAGTGTGCTATTTAATGCTATAAGCTATTCTAAAAGTAACGGTGGTGAAAATAACATTTGGTATATTTGTAATAAGATTTGGTTGGAGAATGGGGGCAGGGTTAAGGTGACAATACGGCAAGGTGTAATGTACTATTATGCAACATGACAGACTCACTACCTGAAGGAAATAGTGCAAGAATCAGATAATGGCCTAAGCAAACTCCACGTCTTCTGATTAGGCTCTGTATCAATCAGTCAGGTTAGTACACAGTCAGTAGTGAAGAGTATGGATCTAAATTGCTTGATATGGTCACCTAGCAGTCAGTCTCTGTCAAGGTAATTATGGGGTGGTGTATTATACCTGAACTCAGCATCCTTGTCTGAGGAGAGCCACGTTTCTGAGTTTTCCAGATTGAAAGGATTGCAATGGTTGAATCGTTCACTGATACTCTCTGTATAGGCTCAAGCATAAAGATTGACCACTCAGATAAGGTGTCAGATGGTGTCTGAGCATCATGGAGCCCATGACCCAAGGGTACATTGCCGCTTTCAAAATAGGAATAAGGATAGGGAGAAATTCCTCTACCTTTTCCTGAAAACAATACCATTTTTTGTATTTATTGGTTTGTAGCTTTATCACTGTGGCAGTGTATATAATGGCAAAATGTAGTAAACAGCACCTTAAAAATAATGATGGTGATCATTTAATACGTCAGTTGACTCTCATTGGAAGGAATCAAACATACACTTGGATAGAAAAAGTAATGTCATTTTTTATGGCAAAGCACATCTACCAATTTTTATTAAGGATTTTGTTTCAAAATGGCATGAATGACAATGTACTTAATATTTCTTGCAATGATATATTTTAGTTAGAATTCATTTCCATAGTTGAAATTAGACCAGATCGTAAATGCTGTTCAATTAGCTTTTTTTAAAATTCACCTCCTTCAGCAGTACAACCAACAACTAAACCAAACATGTCAGTGTAAGTTCATCATAAATTCCTTGTGCATGTAGTGAAATGTTGCTGCCAGTAAATGGCGCTGTTGTATTGCTGTAACATGACTCATTGTCAATGGTTGTCATCAGTACTTCTTGCACTTAGAGTCGACTTCATTTGGGAGTTTCAATTCAATTTCAATGCTTACTCAATGTTACAATAAGTAAAATGTATTGGACAGTTTCATCGATACAGGTTACTTGCTTGCAGAATTTTTTCAAAATCCTAATCTTAGAAGTTGAGATTGGAGTGATGGTAGTGGGCAAGGTATGTGAAGTAGAGGTATAAAGACTGAGTCAGTGCCCAACTTTAACACAACCACATTTGTGTAGTTCCAGAACAATTCAAATATAAGATGTTGGACAGACTGGGTAGTTGTTTTGGAAAGCCAGCACAGGCACGACAGATTAAATGACAGCTTTTTGCACTATATGATTTTATAACACGATAATGTTCTTGTTCTCAGCTAAGCAAAGTGGAATGAAACCAAGATACTTCTGAAATAACTCCACAGAGGAAGGTTTAACATCAGCAAGTCACCCATTATTTAAATGTGGACAGTCCTTAACATTGATCTAGCTCCCCCAGAGCCAGCTCTCAGAGAATCATTGAACCCCACAGTGTGGAAACTGGCCATTCGGCCCAACAATTTCACACCGACCTTCTGAAGAGCATCCCACACAGACTCATCCCCTTAAACCTGCATTTCGCATAGCTAATGCACCTAACCTGCACATCCCTGAACACTATGGGTAATTTAGCAAGGCCAATCCACTTAACTTGCACATCTTTGGACTGTGGAAGGAAACCAGAGCACCTGGCGGAAACCTACACAGACAGGGAGAGAATGTGCAAACTCCACACAGACAGTTGACCAAGGCCGGAATCGAACCCAAGCTCGTGGTGCTGTGAGGCAGCAGTGCTAACCACTGAGCTACTGGGCAGCCCCAAAGGGAACAGGATGTCTGACACTTATGAAAATATCTGTCAGCCAGGGCTCCCTGATTAGACGAGATTAACAGCCCCAATCAGGGAACTCATATTGTATGAGGTCCACCTGGCTGACCTGCTACAATCACTACATCCCTCCCCATCGGAATATAGGCCAGTTATCTTTCTTTGTAACTCCTCCTGGACGTTTTAGCATTGGGTCAGGTTTCTCCAACTCTGCTTCTGATACGGGTAGCATGTAATGCACAGCGGTTCACCTATTGCACCCAGATCATCTTGGAAGAAATTCATTCTCTTCTTCAGGCGGCAAAGGCATTGAGACGGCTACATCTGCCATGTCCATCTCAGATTCTGAGGTCTCTTCAATGCTTGATGGGGAAGGAGAACCCACAGATTCCCACAGCCTTGTCGCCTTTTCCAAGGAGCCTGGCAAGTTTTGCTCCTGCACCACTTGCAAGTTTGCAGCTTTCATATGGTCCACATGCTTGTTCAGGACCATCCCCCCCACCTGAACTTTATAGGTCATTGGAGCTGACCTCATGTCAACTATGTCTCTTATCCATATTCGGCCATTTCATAGTTCCTGCACCAAACCTCATCCCCTGAAGTAAACTGTCTCTCTCACTTTGCAGAGTCTTGCATCTGGCATTTTCGTTCCTGATGCTGTTTCATTCCTCGCCCCCTCCCCCGACAAAAAAATGTCCAGGAAGATCAGAATTAACCTGGTGCAGCGCCTTCTCCTCATGAGCAACTCTGCTGGAGCTATCCCTGTAGTTGCATGAGAGGTGGTCTAATAATCAAAAGGGAATGGGGACAGTTTGATATCTAGTGAAGTTGTGTGCTGTTTCTTTAAGCCTGCCTTCAAAGTTTGGACTGCTCTTTCTGCCGGACCATTGGATGATGGATGTTATGGAGCTGTCTTTATATGTCAAATGCCATTCAACTTTAGGAAATACTGAAATTCCCCACTAGTAAATGATGGCCTGTTATCTGTGACCAACACTTCAGGGAGCCCATGTAATGCAAAAGATGTGCACAGTTTTTCTATCGCCGTCCCGATGTTTGACAAATGAACTCAATGCATGTCCAGCCACTTTGAGTGGGCGCTCATAATGACTAAGAACATTGGTCCATGAAATGACCTGCATAGTTAGCATGTAACTGGGTCCAAGGTTTACCCAGCCATTCCCACAAATGTGGGGAGCTGCTGGTGGTAATTTTTGTCCTTGTTGGTGCTCTGGGCACTGTTCCATCAACACACCTATGTCGGCATCCAATCCTGGCCACCAGACATAACTTCTTGCCAACATCTTCAAGTTGAAAACCTCTAGATGACACTGGTGGAGTTCAGCCAGTATCTGGCAGTGACCTTTGCTTGGGACAATCACTCTTGCTCTCCATAATAATATTCTGTCCTCTACTGTGATCTGGTCTCTCCAGGTCCAAAAAGATTTCAATTCTGTTTGTGATGGCCTTTCTCTTTCCCCTATCACCACCAGCTGTTTCAGTTTTGCCAGGACACAGGTCTTTCTGCATCCAAAGCCTGATATTGTCAGCTGTGACTGGAAGTGCATCCAAGAAATTTAAACCCACTATGGACTCTTCCAGTGAAGGTACCACCAGTGGTGCACCTGCCAGCGGGAGGCCGCTCAATGCATCCACATTTACTTATGGCCTCCTGGATGGCATTCCAACTTGTAATTATACGCACTTAGCATTAGAGCCCACTGCGGAATTCGACCTGAAGCTATGGGCAACACTGCCTTGTCCTCTTTAAGTAGACCCAGCAGGAGTTTGTGGTCCATTATTGTTACTTAGTTACATCCATAAAGGTACTGGTGGAACTTCTGACTCCAAATATGACCGCCAAACCTTCATTCGCTATCTGGACGTATTTACCCACTGTATTAGCCAAAACCCTGGATGCCTACACTATTGGGCGTTCCTCTATGTTGAGTCACCAATGAGCTAATACTACCCCGATGCCATATGGGGAGACATTGCATGTCAATGCCATATCTCGCTTGGGATCATAGTGTGCCAACACCTTAGAAGATGACAGCTGTTTCTTCACTTCACTGTAAGCTATGGCTCGGCTACGCGACCATTTCCAAGGCTGACCCTTTCTTTAAGAGTTGATGCAAAGGGCTAGGATGGAGGCCAGGTAATACATAAACTTTCCATCATAATTCACCGGCTCAAAGAAAGCCCTAAGCTGCAGTACAGACGTGGGAGCCAAGGCACCTTTGATCATCTTCGCTTTATCTTCCAATGGGTTTAATCCAGTCTTGTCAACTCTGTAGCCCAAGTAGGTCACTTGGGGTGCATGGAAAACAATTTTTCCCCTCTAAGGCATACACCCACCTGGGAGAAATGTCTAAGACTATGTCCAAGTTCTCCAAGTGCTCCTTCTTGGTCTTCCCTGTTATTAGCACATCATATAGATGAATGGCAACCTGGGGTAAACCTTGTAAAATGTTCTCCATTGTCTGCTGAAAAGTTGCACAGGCTGACGATACCCCAAATAGCAGTCTTGTGTATTGGTTCAAACCTTTATGGGTATCAATTGTAGCATACTTCTGAGAATCCTCATCTAACCGCAACTGCAAGTACACATGGCTCATGTCCAGCTTTGTGAAGGACAGCCCCGCTGCCAGCTGTGTATATAAATCCTCTATGCGAGGAATTGGATATTTATCCAGCTGCAAAAAGTGGTTTACTATTTGTTTAAAACTGACCCATCAGGCTTCACAGTCAGTCCGGCCGATGCTGCCCATTCTGCAAACTGGACTGGTTTGATGATTCCTTTGTTTTTCAGCCTTCCGATTTCTGCCTC